GAATGTGCAGACTGAGTTCTAGAAAGTGGGGGCGGTCTGGCCACTTCAGGATCAGAGCAGTGCCCAGAGGGGAGGCGGGGCTGTGGTGAGCGGTTTGGAGCCCCGAGGGCTTGGGGCCAGCCGGGGGGCTGGGCAGGAAGGGGGGTGCAGTGACAGGCTGAAAGGCGACGAGGGTCTCATGCCCTGCGAGTGACGTGGGAGAGCAGATGAGCAGGCGGGCTCGGGAGGCCGTGCGTCTGCAAGTCGGAGGGATTCAGGGGGCGGCCGGATGTAGGGATAGAATTAAAGTCGAAGACCACAGCCTTTTTTGGCCTGAATGATTCGGAAAGATGGTGGGGCCGTGAACCACCATGTGGAGCCCAGGAGGGAGCCCGACTGAGAGGCAGGGTGAGGAGTGTGACCGTCAGGAATCTTCAGGACCAAGGGACAGAAAGACTGAGCTGCCGCTCTGGAAGGAGCCTGGAGCCAGGGACTGGGTAGCTCGGGGGCACCCACCAGAGAAGGGCCAGCCTGGGGCCACGCACGAGCAAGGGCCAGCCTGGGGGTGCACGGGGGCCACGCACGAGCAAGGGCCAGCCTGGGGGTGCACGGGGGCCACGCACGAGCAAGGGCCAGCCTGGGGGGTGCACAGGAGCCTCCGCACCGAATGCGTAGGGAGGAGAGGCCGATACTGTTGTGTTTCATGATAGGGGCCAACTCAGAAAAAGCAAACCGGCAGAACGGAGCAGAAATCCGGAATTAGACTAGATTCAAGTGAAAAGGGAACTTTCATGGATGACAAGGGTGACCTCACCGAAAGACTTTTTCCTGAATTTTGTTAAGACAAGACCCATCTGCATTTTGGAACTTGATGGAGGGGGCGTTGTACAACATGGCTGAGTGCATTTAATGCCACAGAACCTGACGCTTCACAGCGATTCATGTAAATTTCGTGTTATGTACACCCACAAACAGTGAAACGAAACTGTAAAAGAACTCACCGCATATGACTGACATCCCTTAGAACCCTGAGGTGGAGAAAGCCTCTATAGCCAAGAATCAAAACTCAGAAGGCATAAAAAGAAAGGATTGATCGTCCGACTATTTAAAAATAAAACTCTTCTGCACAGCCAAGCACAACATAAACAGAGTCTATAAAAAAGCTCTGAAATACCAAGACGAAATGCAAGACCCTGACAGAAAAAATAAGCAAAGACATGAATGCTTCGGTTCCCCACAAAACAAATACAACTTGTTCTTGAGGAGATGTTCAACCTGTCCTTTCTCCCTCATCTTTTCGGTAAAAACCCAGACACGCTTAGTTGGTCAGACTGAGAGAGAGCCGCCTTCTCCCATCCCCGGCGGATGGAGTAGAGAGAGCACGTCCCACATGGAGGGGAATTTGGCAAAAACTCCAAGTAACACCCACGTACTTCCCATCCAGGCAGCCCAGCGTCTAGACCTCTACCCCGAAGGCATGTCTTCCCCAGCATGAAGTAAAACACCCCCGGGTTAGTCATTACAGTCAACTGTGTCATCAACAGAGACTGGCTCTTACACAGATAGTTTGCCACAAGAGACGCCCGAAGAAACTTTCATTCGCCCACAGGAGTACCGCGCAGCCGTAAAACAGAATGAAGAAGAGTTCTGCCGCCTCGTTGTGCTGCGGAGTAACGTCCAGAAGATGCTAAAAGTGAAAAAAAACATCATGTTGTAGAATCGAGTCACGTGTGGCGTGCTACCTTTAATGTAGGAAAGGAGGGAAAACAAGATTAATAGATAGATAGGAGGCGCCTCGGTCGCTCAGTCGGTTGAGCATCCGACTTTTGATCTCAGCTCAGGTCTTGATCTCAGGGTTTGAGTTCGAGCTCCATGTTGGGCTCCGCGCTGGGAGGGAAGACTGCTTAAAAAAAAAAAAAAAAAAAAAAGGATCAGCGCACCTGGGAGGCTCAGTCGGTTGAGCGTCTGACTTCAGCTCAGGTCATGATCTCATGGTTGAGTTCAAGCCCCACTTCAGACTCGCCGCTGTCAGCGCAGGGCCCGCTTCAGATCCTCTGTCCTGTCTCTGACCCTCGCCTGCTTGCGCGCCGTCTCAAAAATAAATAAAACATTTTAAAAATATATTTTTAAAAAGATAAACGATTTTTGTATTTCACCAAAAAGCAATGCTTTGAGAAAAAAAACAGAAAATAACTTCAGTGGTGAACCTTAGGGAGCAAGAGGTGAAAGGTAGAGAAGACGGGCATAGAAGCGAGAGTCTTTTTATGAATTTCTAACTGTTGTGCCAGGTCGATGTGTACGTACTTGGAAAAGAAACTTAAATTGAAAAGCAAAACTTACAGCTGGAATCGAATTTATTTTGAGGCGAATGAATCTAATTGTCTATCAAATTAGAAGCACACAGAGAAAATAATTATGGCACGTGTGTGATAACTTGAACGTGAAAAATAAGACCGTGGCCATATCCTTACTGAACTATATTCTAAGGCCGGGGGTGGGGCGTGGGGGAGGGGAGTGGGGGATATTTGTTCAGTGGGCATATCTGTCCGCTCGGCCGCCGTGACAAAGCACAGATGCACGGCTTGAACAGCGGGCATTTATTCCCTCACAGCTCTGGAGGCCCGAAGCCCGAGGCTAAGGTGTGGGCAGAACTGGATTTTTCTGAGGCCTCTGTCCTCGGCTGGCACGTGGCCGTCTTCTCCCCGTGTCCTACGTGGTCCCTTCCTGTGCACGTGCTCTTAATGTCTCATGTCCCAGTCTCCTCGGCTTACGAGGACTTCAGTCGGAGACGGTTAGGACCCACCATCAGGGCCACATTTCAGCGAAATCCGCTCTTTGGAGGCCTGTCTCCAAGGGCAGTCACAGTGTGAGCTGTGGGGCGTGAGGACTCCAGCATCAGGATTCTGCAGGGACACAGGTCAGCCCGTGACCACGAGTGTGGGGCTTGGCTTGGGCAGGTTCTGGGGGTGGACGATGGAGATGGCAGTGGCGACCGTGAATGTACTCGGCACCAACGGACCGTACGCTAAAATATAATTAAGATGGTTCATTTTGTGTGTGTATATTTTACCACCATAAAAAAATAGAAATAAATTTAAGAAGGGAGGGGAAAACAGGGTGCATGCGACAGTCAGGGGGCCGTGGGGCCAGGGCGCCAGGGCCAGGGATGCGTGGCAGATAGGACAGCAGGAAGCAGGAAGCTGCCGTCTGACCAATAGTGCGGGTTCTGAACTGGGGGTCTGAGCGGCCTGTGAGTTCAGGCAGGAAGTCCTCACCCTTTCCATCTGTGAAATGGGCGCTGCCTTCATTGTTACCATGACAGCTGCCTCACACAGGCGGCAGGAAGGATTGAGGCAGCTACCTGAGCTGTGTGGCCCCCTGTTCTCTGGGAGCTCTTTCTTTTTTTTGTGATTTTCAAGTAATGGCATCAGCTGCTTTCAGCCCGAATAAGGAAGCCGCAGCAGCCAGCCCACTGTTTCTATAGCGACCAATGTCCTTCAGGGACGGAAAATGTGGAGAGGGACCCTAAGAAAAAACAAGGGAAAATGAACAGCCCAGACACGTGGCAGATAATAAAACCCAGGAGAGACACCCCGTGACCTAGTTTCCCCGCGGCTGCGCCGAGATTTCCGGCGAGCACCCTTCACTATCTTACCTGTCCCGTTGTCGTCACTAAAAGCTGTAAAGTGAGGTGACAGAATGCAACACTTCACCTGGTGAAAGGCTGACACCGAAACACAGCCGTGAGGATCAGGAAAGGGGGAAAAAGCCCAGAAAGTTCCGAGCCCCTTCAATCTCACTCCCGGCCGCTTGGGAGAAGTCAGCCTGGGGACACACCTGTCCTTTTCTTTCTTCCTTGGAAGCAAGGAAGGCGTCCCGGCTGCGCGGACAGGCCTCGCGCTGGCTCCTCGCCTCCCGGTCCTGTGATCTTGGGCAAGCCCCTTAACCATTCTGTGCCTCACCTTGCTAAGCTATAGAATGGGGAGAGGATTCCCACGTCCGACAGCGGTCGGAAAGGGTTCGATGGGGTGATCCCTTCAGGTCCTCAGTAAAGACGGGCTGGTGATGGGGCGCCTGGGTGGCTTAGTCGGTTAAGCGTCCGACTTTCGCTTGGGTCATGATCTCGCGGTTCATGGGTTCGAGCCCCGCGTCGGGCTCTGTGCTGACTGCCAGCTCAGAGCCTGGAGCCTGTTTCAGAGTCTGTGTCTCCCTCTCTCTCTGACCCTCCTCTGCTCACGCTGTCTCTCTCTCTCTCTCTCTCCTAGAAATAAATAAAAAAATATTTAAAAATTAAAAAAATAAATAAATAAATAAATGTATACAGCCCTCTAATCATCAACCAAGTGAGATCTTTGAATCCGCGCTCCTCTGGCGGGTGGCCCCGAGGGCACGTCCGCCTCCAGACTGCCCGACAGGTTGGCCGGCAGAGAATTCTACCTGATCCCAGTCGGACGTGGGGTGGAGCAGGGGACTGTTCGCTCTGGGCCCTCCACCGCGGCCCGTCTGGCATCCTACGCATGTCACCTGCCCCGGGATCCGTAAGCATTTGCACCTTCAGCTCTCGGTCCGGTCCACCCTCAGCTGCAGCAAACAACTGAGGCTGCATGCTTCCGGCACCATCCGTGTTCACTAAGTACCTTTCCTGGAACCGAATATACATTTCTGGGGCCTTTGCTGAACCAGCAAGAGGGAAAAAAAAAGTATGAAGTATGGCGATCTCTTCGTACAATCTGATTACAAAAACAAACATCTCATATTAAGCCTGACGGAAGGGCTGAATTGGGGGTCTGCCAGCTTTTGGCTTGAAACGAAGTAGGAATGTGTTGTTTAACTTGCATCCCACAAGCAGGAACCTTATTTATATCTCTCTGAAATGCTTGCTCTCAGAAAACCCAGAGAGAGAGAGAGAGAGAGAGAAAACAAACATGTGTCATAAAATAATTGCAGATCTAGTTTATCCAACATTCCGCAGTGTCTATTCCAAGGTAGACCTCGCCGGGGCTCCGGGCCAGGACCTCAGGATGGTGCTCATGAGGGATGTGGGCGCTGGTGAAAGCAAGCTTCCCGTGCGTTTCTCGTTGCAGGGAGGAGCCATCGCCATCCTCACGGCCGCGGAGAGGCCAGCCCTCTTCTCCGGCATGGTCCTCATTTCGCCTTTGGTTCTTGCCAGTCCCGAGTCTGCAACAACTTTCAAGGTAAAGGGGCTCCCAGGTCCGTGCAAGTGCCGCCCTCCCTGGGACCCGAGCATCCGCTGATGAGCTACAGTCTGGGGGAATGGACTGGAGTCCATTCTTGGGCGTCACACACCAGTGGGTGAAGGTGGGGACACGGATCAGACGGTGTGGCCCCTGCGATTCTAGATTTTCTACAGTCGGGTGTGGTTTTGTTTTTCCTAGAGGACAAAATTAGAAAACTGCTTTCCTGTTTGTGCCTGTGCTCTTGGTGAAAGTTAAAAAGAGAAAAGGTGACACACGTGTTACGAATCCAGCAAAATAACCTTTGTTAACAAGTCAGGTGCAAGGGCTCGAGCTGATTTTCACTGAATCCTTGCCAACTTCAATGGAAAGCACACAGCGAGTGGACTTGCAGGCAATTTGTAATTGCGACACAGAGGCCCACTCACTGTGGCTGTGCTCCAGCCCAGAGCACTTCTCCCTCTGACTCTAATGATCCGTCGCTCTGCTTCATCCATCACTTTGTGTTTCTGGTCATACTGTTAGGCAGCAGCACACACGTACGTGCTCTTGCATTCTGGGGCTGTGAGCTAACAAATAAATACAGGTGACCCTTGAACGACAGGAATGACCTACGTGGGCCCACGTATACACAGATTTGTTTTCCATAAACATAGTACCGTACTGTAAATACATTTCACCTTCCTTATGATTCTCTTACCAACGTTATCTCTCTAGCTCACTTTACTGTAAGAATACGGCATGTAATACATACAAGATACGTGTTAGTCAACTGTTTATATTATTGGTGAGGCCCCCAGTCAACAGTAGTTAAGTTTGGGGTGAGTCAAAGTTATATGCGATTTTCGACTGGACAGAGGGTGCGGCGGCCTAGCCCTCGCATCGTTCGAGGGTCAACTGTACCTCCTCGAAGTAGAACAGGTGCTCTCTCTCCCTGAGAAAGGAGATGAAGCCATGGCCTCAACAGGACTGCTTGTTGTCCTGGGAATGTTTGGGCTGGGAATGTTATGGACCCATTCTTTAGGCTTGGGGTTTAAGAGAGAGAAGAACTGAGAACTGAGTGAGAGGGAGAGTCCCAACCCTGTGGGTCTCAAGGGAAGGGTCATCTCACGCCAGCGCCCAGAGGGGCTGCTGCCTCCTGAGCCAGTTGTCGGGACTCTCAAAGGGCTTGAAGGGAGAGGTCAGGGGTCACGAGGCCACCGGGGACGGGGCAGCCGTGAGCCATAGCTTACCTGACTTTCCCCGGCCCCAGCTTCAAGTGACAGCAGGGCCATTTAAATAATCGCCTGAGCTCTGACGTGTTTTCCTGAGGACCCAAACCGGGGGGCACCGGTACGGGGAATGAAACATTGTAAAAAGGTCTCCAAAGTGTTTCCTCCAGCCCACAGCCCACAGCCAGAGATGGGTCGGGTAGGTCCCGTGTACGGGCTCTCGGTTCGATGCAGAAAGATGTCACTGATCTGAAATGGGGACGGGCTGAGCACAGCTGTCTGCTACTTTACCCAGAGAACAAGGATTTACCCCATTTGCCGACGAACAGAATTTTCCTCGTTGTAAGGAAATCACCAGCGACATCGTGACATCAACTCCCAGGAGCGAATTTCAGTGCTGTGTGAGGACAGCAGTGGGGACGGCGGCCACCCTGGCGTGGAAGGAAACGAAGGTGTTCACAGAACCACAGGGAAGGAATGCGCAGACAGGCCGCCTCGCGGTCACTTCGGCAAGAGGCACGGCTGCCACTGGGGACAAACCACTCGAGGGTCCTCGTCCAAGCAGGAGAAGCGAGACCGGGACCCTTGTGCTCTGACCCAGGAAGATGCGCTCAGTTCGGCGAGTGTCACACGGGTGCTGTGCTGTCCACACCCCAAGGCCCCGGGTAGAGGTCGCCACCTTGTTCTGGGAACGGGAGGGAACACAGAGCTCGGGCAGGGCGCGGGGGCCCGCGGGGTCGCAGCTTGCGTGACTGATTGGAATCCAGGGCTGTCCCTTCTCCGGCTGGGAAGTCCCCACAGGAGAAAATAGGTGGACGCGAACCCTTAGAGACATGCCCGGAGGCAGCGCACATCGGGTCGCGGTCGCAGCCCGGGGGTGGGTGGGCCGCGGGGCTTCCTCTCGGGTCACTGGCGGAGGTGGAACGTGTGGACTGGGCTCCAGCGTGACCTCTCTGCGCCCTGTGCTAATAGATCACCTTGTCAGATCAGAGGCCGGCCTCCCCGGGGGCTGCTGGTCTCCTCTTATTAACCAAGACAAATCAGATTTCCTGCTGCCCCCAGACCGGAGGACGCATGGTCCCCGCCGTGAAATCTGTTGCTGCGCCTGGGTCTGGGCAATTTGGACTGACAGGGTCTGTGATTCATTTGCCTGCCCGCCCGCCCCCAGACGACTCGATTGCCCCGCACACGGCCAGTCTTGTCCGACAGTCTCTGGGAATCTCTGTTTAAAATTTAAACGTTGCCAGAATAGTACATTCGTACGCTTCTAACTTCGGACGATGAGGATGTACAGCAAGCAGCCTCCCCGCACGATGGGTCCGTCTGTCTCCCCAAGCGCACACTCCATTCGCGCCTGCGTTTCGCACGGATGAGAATGCACCGCTCTGTGCTTTCTGATGGCTCTGTTCTTGTGGTTTGCTTCTTCGCTTCTGTGGGTTTGGCTTTAACGCGGTAGTTTTACTTAGCAGTGGCTGTGTGGCTCCTTCCCCGTCAGGTGACAGGAATCGCTGGGGACAGGTGCCGGCTTGGGTGAGGGCTGTGGGTGCTAACAGGCCTCAGAGGTGGACAGGCTCCCAGACGCCACCCCCACCTGAGGAAGCTGAGGCCGAGGAGCGGGCCTTCCCAGGGCGGAGTCCTGGCCTCCAGCCGCGTCTCCCAGAGCCCAGCCCGGGGACTCTTTCAGGTTGACGTGATGGCCACAAACTCCCGCTGGAGATTCGCGAACGCATCGAAGCGGGCGGCATGAGGCGTCTGAGACGACGGCCCCCCCGGACTGTCAGAGCACCAGACCCACCCCCCCGCCCCTGCACACATCTGGCTCCTACCTCTGTGTTCCCTCTTCAACATGCTGGGCTATATTTAGCCTGGAGAGCAGGCGACGAGGACAGAGGCTTCTGGCCCCAAACTCTGTGTGTAGAATGTGGCTGCGGATGGGAAGTGACAGTGGGAGGAATCTGGAACAACATCCAGTGTCCCTGAAGGAGACCATGAGACTTAGGAGACCGGTTCATGCCCCGCGCCCTGGGGGTGATCGGGCTGGAGTCATGCCCGCGTACGGAGAGGGGCCTGGCTGCCCAGCTGGTGGGCGTGTGAGCCGGAGCCGGATGTCCTCACGTGGCTTGCCCTGGGGTAGCCGGCAGGAATGGGGGGTGCAGATCACAGAGGAGCCGGGGCACCTGAAAACCCCCTGGCCTTGCCCTGGGTCGGGGCAGGGGCTCCGCCCGCCAGGAGGGCCATCCTGTAAACGATCTCTGCCTCCTGCCTGGCGGCTGTTCCCGGGGTCCAGGGTCAGGGATGCAAGGGCCAGTCCTGTGCTTCCAGATGCTTCCACTCCCCATCAGCCAGGGCACCTGGCCAAGTAGAGAGAAGAGCTGCCGTGAACCCTGCACCCCGTGCACGACATGCATTGTCTCGTTTCCCTTCTGTCACCGCCCAGCAAGGAGAGAAACCCATTCCCAGTTTACAGACGAGGAAATGAGGCCGATTGTCTTGCTCAAGGTCGGCCTGTGCCCCAGCTCAGGCCAGCGGCCAGGTAGGGTGCTCCTTTCACCCCGAAACATGTCTAAGGTCCGCTTCCCTTGCCTGGAGCCCAGTTCTCATCTGTTGTCAGTCGCTAGCCTCCAGAAGGCCTTGGGGCAGCGGAGGGACCGGGGTGGAGGGCGATCGGGCGGGAGCCTGGGAAATCGCTGCTCTTTCGAACAGAGTTACCGTTAACCCGGCGGCCAGGGCGTCAACCGTGGCATGAATGGGGCAGCTGCGACGCACCTCGGGGAGTCGTTACCCCTCTCCTACGGGTGCTGTCGGAGTCGGGGCTCAGACTTCTAAGCACTCGGCATTCAAGGAACGAGTCACCCCTCCCCACACGCCTCCGGGACCCCTGCTACGCGGCAGGCACGGGCATTCCGCAGCCAGCAGGCGCTCCGTCCTCCCCAGCGCGGCTTCCAGAAAAGGCACGGCACGCTGTCTAGGGTTGGCGGGCCTGGCGGTGCACTCCCTCCCCCGAGAAGCTGTGGGCCGACCCCGGCACAGACGTCCCCCTCACAGAGGCCTGGATTCGGGCCCCCTTTGGCCCAGGTCAGCGTGCTGGGGCCACTCGAGAAGATAGCGCTGGCGGTTCGCTCCCTCCTGTCAAGTCTCTCACTGACGGAAGCTGAAAAATGATCTGAGGGACCCATTAAAACCTTTCGGATCAATAACGGCGTTTGTGCAAATCACTGGTATTTAAAGTGATGGACACGGCACTTAACCCAGGAGCGCCCCAAGGGCGTGTCAAGGACCCTCGACGCGCTCTGGTCCCCGGCGCGTCAGGAGGGGCACCTCACTTCTGGGGGAGCCGTCCCTTTCTGTGCGGGTGCATGGACGCGGGGCTCTGGCCGTGACGGTGACGCCTGTGGCTCACATCCTGTCCCCGAAGTCTTCACTCCGAATGGCGTCGGCAGGGCTCTCTCCTCAGGCCCCAGCCAGTCCTTGCTGAGTCTTTCCTGGGGCCAGAAGCCAGCGGGCACTCAGACACGAGCTCCGTGGGGACCAGGCTTTGTGTAACCTCCACGGCAGCCCGTAGAGCTCGCTTCATGGTCCCCATTCGAGAAACGGAGAAACTGAGGACCATAGACTTTCTTGCTGGTTCAGAACCAGAGTTCGAATCCAACTTTGCCCGGCTTCCAGTCTCCCTTTTCCGGGGCTGGGGTCTGGCGACTTTGTGCCCGTTCTCTGTAGGTCACCCCCCACCCCAGTTATTCTCCGGTGACCAGACTTGGGGTCCCTGCTGAGTCGGCACCGCGGGGGGCTCTACGGCGGTAAGACCTGACTTAACCTGCAGGGGACGAGATGGGGGTCCCACCCCAAGAGAGGCCGCCTGCAGCCGCCCTCCCCGCCCCGAGTCGGATCTGAGGCCCTCTCTGCACTCCCACAGGATCATCCGAAGAGCCTGGCCGAAATGGCAACGCGACTGGGATTCTCTTCGATCCCAACCTCCTTCTGGGTGAGCCGCACCCCCACCTCTGCCCACCCCCGGAAGCAGGTGGCGGGCTCTCCCCGCTGACAGTGGAGGCCTGGCTCACGGTGGGACCGCAGCAGCCTGAACAAAATTGATCCTCGGGGTGTGGGGGCTCTCCGGCTCTTTCCACCCCAACTCTGTCCTTACCCGGTGACCGTTCTTTACCTCATACCCCCTGCTCGGCCCTCCTGGCTTCCTGCGTCTCGACAATCAACCCTCTGCCCCTGCTTACGACTTCTTTCTGCCCCTCCCCCTCCCTCCCCCCGGTAGCCATGAGGCTGATGAAACATCCCTAAAAGAACAGCGGGGGAAGGGAATAACATTTGCAACTGTTCAAAGCTCCCTGCCCCCGAACGCTTCTCTGGGTTTTTTTGTGGGAAAGAGGCTAAAGCACCTGATTCTTTTATTCTTTTTTAAACCATATGCTCGTCATCAAAAGATTCGCCTCTACCCAGTCTCCTCTTGTTAGAAATGTGGTTTGGAAGTCACCCTGCAGCTTTCGAAAAAGAGCTGAGGGTCAGGGCCGTCCGAACATCTGTCAGCCTTTCGTCACGGCTCCCTCTGGCATGGACTCCAGGGACGGCCATGTGCCCCCCACCCCCCGTCCTAACTGGGACAGGATGAGAATCGAGAACGCTTTCTGGACTCCAGCTGCTTGCTGGAGTCACCCAGGGAGCCTTACCACACACACACACACACACACACACACACACACACACACACGTGCCGGGGCCCCACCTCAGGCTAATTCAATCAGCATCTCTGAGGCGGGGGCCTGGGACATAGCGGCTGCTGCCCCCTCACCTTCAGGGCGCACGAGAAAGCTCTGGGGGCCTGTAAAGACGCAGCCCCTGATCCGACAGGCCAGCGTCCTCAGGGGCTGCTGGTCTGAGGGCCTCACGGGGAGCAGGGAGGCCATGGAAAACCAGGAAGGGACGGGCCCGAGGCGGGCGCCACGCCCGCTACCAGTGCGCCAGTGCAATGGAAGGCACAGAAGGGTCCGCCAGCCTCGGGGACCCCGAAGCCCAGCCTCCCGTCCCGTCCCGAGCCAGAACCGTGAGCCGCGCATCTGGCCCAGGCCTCTCCGCGGACTCTCCCTGGGGTCCACCCACGCCCAGGCCTTAGCGCTCTCTACCCGCTCAGACCCTCTGGTCTTGGGGTAACGGCCTGCAGGGCTGAGCATCAAGTCGCAAGCAGGCCGGACAGAGAAAGGGCTGCCGTGTCTGTGCCCCGCGCTCCTGGAGGCGTCTGCCCCTCAGCGGGGTTTGTGACTGAGCCCCCCGTTCCTGTTGCGCTGACTCCTGCACCTCCGCGACATTCCAGCACCTTCCGCGACACTCCAGCCCCGGGGCTGTGTCGCTGCTCCCCTAGGCGCATTCGCCCATCCCGAGCCCACAGCAGTGGCACCCTCAGAGGGGCAGCAGTGGAGCCCAGGCCAGTCTCCTCCGGGATGAGGCCTTGGGCAGCTAGCGCTTGGCTTATTGTCCTCGGATGGGGGGGGGGCGACGGCCCGCCGATCAGCCCATAACTCTTTCATTTCCTCCTTCCTTCCTTCCTTCGGTTTAGCTTCCTCTCCTGAGGTAGATGGAGCCCTTCTGGCCCCTCTGTCCTTAGCCTGTGACCCCAAAGCAAGGATGGTTCGACCACAGCACTGGCTTTTCTGAGTCTCTTCGGGCCTCAGCTGTTGGCATCTTGTGCTGGAAAGCAGGACCTCGGCATGTGGGAGTAGAAATGGTCCCGTTTAAGAGGCACCAGTCGTTGGGGCGCCTGGGTGGCTCAGCCGGTCGAGCGTCTGACTCTCAATTTCGGCTCAAGTCATGTCTCATGGTCAAGAGATGGAGCCCTGCACTGGGCTAGAGCCCGCTTGGGGTCCACTCCCTCCCTCTCTGCTCCTCCCCCACCCTCTCTTTCCCCCTCTCCCCCCCCAAAATAAATACATAAACTTAAAAAAAAAAGGCACCAGTGGCAGGAGCATAGATTCAAAGATGAAGGTAAGTGTTTATCTTCATGAAGGGCTGGCTCCTGTGTGCCCAGGGCCACGCAGAATCGGGTGACAGGCAGCAAAGCCTAAACTGCCGGCAAACGAGGAATCTGGTGGCGGGCTTAGGACGCGGCGCGGTCTCTCTCCTTCACTTCGGCTGCGGGCTGGGCGCCCAGCTGCTGCGCCCCTGCCCCTTTCCCTGGCCACGGGCCATCTAATCTGGGAACAGGCAGGAAGCCACACGGCAGGCAAACAGCGGTGTCCTCGAGAAGCCTGGGCCAGAGGGGACAGGCCCCAGGCCCAGCGAGTCCGCGAGTCCTAGGTGCGGCGGCGGTGGCGCAGGTCGGCTGTTAGCCATCATGTCCATTCAGGGGGCTGCAGCAAATGTCCAGGCGCCAGCCCTGCAGACTCTGGGAGGCATGTTGAGTTTGCCCCTCGTGACGTCGGGCTGCTGCTGCTGGAGGGCCTAAGTCCCAGCAGATGCGCCTTCCGGTACCTCGGAGCCCAGCGAACACGGCCCCCCACCTCCCTGCGCGTGAGTCACTCGTATCTGCTGCGTTTTCTGTGCATTTACACACGTGTTTAAGCTCTGAAAGCTCAGATCCCAAGTCCTGAATTTAGATTCCCGGAGGAGCCAGGTGCCGGAGTTCTGACATCAGGTCCGCGATTGGAAACGCCCAAACTCTGGCCTTCCTCAGAGCCCCCCGAGCTCCGTCCAAGCCCTCCCAGTCCCGTGCCCGTCCGTGGAGCTGACCCCAACCCCACCTTACCTCTCGACCCCGCTCAGCGGCTCATGTCCGTCCCCTGAGGCTGCAGACTGTGCGGCTGAGTCCAGGCCCTTACACAGCGCCCCCAGTTGGGTGTCCTTATATTTCTACACGAGACTGTCACACGTCAGCCCGGGGCCTGGCACATTGGTGGCGGTGAGCTGACAGCATGCGGTTTGCTGAGCCTTAGAGGCAGGGAGCTGCGTCCTTGCCTGAAGCTCGGAGACCTGACGGTGCGACCTCAGAGCAGCTTCGCGCCCCTGTGCTGCTTCAGGAGCAGAGCCTTGTTTCTTCTCTGCCTGACCCCTGGCGTCTGATAGACAGTCGTCGTGTGAGGTTATGTCCTGCTTGTACAGCCGGAGGCATAGGATGCTTTAATCCTTCTTTGTAAAGTTTTTCTTTATTTTGAGATGGAGAGCGTGAGTGGGGGAGGGGGAGGGCAGAGAGCCGGGTCGGGGGTGGGGAAGAGAGAATCCCAAGCAGCTCCAGGCCCTGAGCCGTCAGCGCAGAGCCCGATGCAGGGCTCGAACTCAGGAGCTGTGAGATCGTGACCTGAGCCGCAGTCGGACGCACAACCGACAGAGCCGCCCAGGCGCCCCCACAGGACACTCTGTGGTTCTGAGTGTTCGGGGTGTGCAGAGCGCAGCCACTGTGGACACAGGTTGTCTCAGTGGGTGCTGTTTGGGACCATCCACAGGTGAGGTTAGGCCCACCAGTTACCTTCATACAGACAGAGAGAGGGGATCACGACGGGCAGAGGCAGGAAAGGGAAGACTGGTCTGGCCCAGACCCACCCCCCCAGCTGACCACGGGGGGTAGTGCCGAGCCTGCCCCCTTGTCTGTTAAATGAGGATGAACCCCGGCCTCATGGCGTCCGTGTCAGGATTGAAAGACGGGGCCCCGGGCGCTGTGGGCGACACGCCAGAGATCGTTGCTCGGTGGGTGTTGTGCCCTCGCCCTCGCTGAGGGCACAGGGGCCTCACCTCTTAGCTCCGTGATGTGCGCCTTCGACCCAGAGCGAGCGTCCTCTGCTCGCCCCCTTCCCTGCCGTTCTAATTTCAGCGTTTCACAGCTCGCTTGTGAGAGGGGCCCCCTCCACCCTGAGCATCTGCGCACAGCGCGGAAGTGAGAAGGGCCCCCCCGCGGAGACGTGTGAGATGGAGCTCACGCCCCGCCCGGAAACACCAGATCCTGCAGGAGAGAAGGGGTGGGGAGGGGGTGGTGCCCGCACCAGGGTCAGGCTCAAGGAGCATGGGTTAGGCGCCCACTGTGTGCCTGGTGCTTTCGCACACAGTGGCCCTCTGGGCGAGCGCCACTGACATAAGGAAACGGAAGCTCCGTGATGTTCGGATCTCACGCCCAAGGGCACAGGGCCACGCAGCCAGGGGTCACATCAGGTCTCCTTCCCTCGGCCGCGCATCTCCTGATCAGGCTGCTAGCGACTTCTCTCTCCCTCCGAGAGAAACCAAGGCAAGCACCAGATTCTTTCTGATCAGAGAGAGCACTTTCCTCCGGGGCCTCCTGAGCTCCCCTGCTTCACGGGTGATCTGGGTGATTTTGCTCCTGCTGTGGATTATTGGGGTTCCCAGAGAAGGGACTTGTGCCGAAGAACTCGGCTAGGCGGCCCCTGTGGAGAATTCAGAATCGCAGCCGATGGATGACTGCGGGAGGGGGGGGACCACACAGGACCCTGAGCAGGTGAAAAATAGACGCGGCGTTCCCGCCATCAGCCGCGGCGGCCCACCTCCCGCCCGGCCCACCCACGGCGGATCCGAGCCAGACTGACTAGAGGCTGCTGAGTCAGAGCCGGGGGGGCCCTGGGGTGCTGAGCCCTGGGAGGCGAGCCTGGCCCGTGTTCAGCTTGGGCGTCACGTTCCTTAATTTATCGTAAACTGTCCCGTGGGCAGAGCTGGGCCTGGATCCCACAACTCACTCCCCTTGTTTCCTTCCCCGCTAGGTCTTTGCCGCGAAGGTTCTCAACCTTGTCCTGCCAAACTTGTCCCTGGGCCCGATCGACTCCAACGTGCTCTCTCGGAATAAGACGGAGGTGAGCGTGTTTCTGAAAACCTGGGTCGGGGGGCACCTGAGGCTGGTGAGGGGCTGAAGGCAGCAGCCCCCGGGGCGGAAAGCTGAATTCTAGATCTGTCTCTCTGCCCCCCGCCCCCGTCACTGAGGCCCTCCGTGATGGGGACACATCAGGACTGGATGGGAAGGGACGGGAGGCTGTGATGCCTGAGCCGTGCCCGGAGCGTAAGGAGCAAACCAGATGAAGTTGTGTGGATCAGCCAGAGCTCCTGTGGCCACAAGTGACGGAAACCTAAAGCAAAGTGATTCAGGCAAAAGGGGGCATTTATTGGTGACTGGAACTGAAGGCTTCAGGCATGGCTGGATCCAGGGGCTCAGAAGTCTCGTTCACCGACTGGGTCTCCCCTGCTCTCATATCCGCTGGTGTGGCTTCGTTCCGAGGCAGGCTTTCCCCACGTGGAGGCAGACGTGACCACCGCAGCAGAGGGACAGGCTGTTGGAGAGCCAGCGACCGCCTCAGGGCTGATTCTCACTGGCTGACTGTCCAGGAAAGGGGGGTCATCAACCCCACCCCAGTCCACGGGCTCAGCATAGAGAAGGGCAGGTTCAGGGGGTCCAGTTGGGACGGTGATAGCAGATTGGACTCAGGCCAGGCTAAGAGTCATACGTCCGTGTGTTGGGAAGTGAGAGCCAGTGCAGGGGCTGGGGGGCGGGGGTGTCTGAGGAAGAGGGTTCCTGGGAGAGGCCGCCGGGCCGGCAGAGTCCTGGCTTGAAGGGAGGGCAGCCACCACACAGAGGGCAGCGGGTGAGCGGCAGGGGGTAAACTGAGGTCAGATCCCCCTTCTCGTGGGGGCCACCGCCCTGGCCGGAACGGTCCCCGCGCCCCGGGCATTGCTGCGCTGCTCTTTGCAAAAGCAGAAGCGGCGGAAAGAAGCCCAGGAGGAAACGGCACGGTGGCCTTGGGGGAGAGGAGCTGGGGGCTGTGCCATCGGGTTGAGGTCACCACCTCCGGGACCGGGCACCAAGGTCAGCGGGGACAAAAGGTCAAGGCCAACTCATGTGCCTGAGACGCTGGGCCTGAGGGCAGAGTCCACAACCGCAGAGATCGGCGTTGGCCGTTAAGGCGCCACGCGGCAAGCCCGCCCTTCCCAGGGAGCTGGAGTCGGCGCCTGGCACCCTGCTTCCCGCTGAGCCCTGGTGCTGCGTGCCAGGCCGCCGCGCCTGCCCTTCCAGCCGCCCGGCGGCCCCGTGTCGCACGGGAGCAGACTGAGACTCGGTGGGTCGAGGGGAGGGCCTGGGCCCACGCCCCGGAGGGGCTGGCCTGAGAGCTTAGGTGGGAGTGGTCCCCAGCCTGGTCTGTCTGTGGGCGCGAGGACCTGCGTGGGCTGGTGGCCCGGGGACGGCAGGCAACCCTGGGTATCTGGAAGATACTGGAATCATCTTCAGGATTCCGCAAACCGTTTTTGCCACTCTTCTGCCTCAGTTTCCCCTCTTGCCTTAGGAATTTGAAGTCATGGGCTCATTGGTTCCCCGAGGGCCCCGGAAAATGGGTTTCCGTGAGACCCAAGCACCCAGACTCCAGCTTCATTATAAAATGAGACCTGGTCCTCTCGGCCACTCAGAGGGCACAGCTCAATGGGAAGGAGAAACCTTGATCAGGAGACTGGCTCCCGGGTCCCTGAGGGCCACCTGTTGATGAATGACCCCAGCGAGAGACCCTAGGTGGTGGCAGTGGGGGGGGGGCTGTCAGGGGCCACGGGGATCCCATCCACCCAAGCCATCCACACCCCGTTGAAATTTTTAGTCTTCACTTTTAAAACGCTCTGTGCTTCTCAAAGCCACACCTGGGGGCTGAGTTTGACCCACCAGGATCAAAGAGTACTTGAGGAAAGAAAAGAACATTTCAGTTCAGAAGGCCAATCTGTACAGACAGAAGGCCCCACGTTAGGACCCAGAAACGCCGAGGTCAAACTCACGCTGTTTGATCCGATCCTGACGTGTGCGCATGAGATCGACGTGAACCCCATTTCACAGATGAGGACGCTGAGGCTCGGGGGTTAAGTCGGGGCTCACGTTGTCCGGAGTGGCGCACCCCACCGGGGCCAGAGCTGAGCCCGTCTGATTCGGAAGCCCCTTCTTTCCAGCTGCTGTTTGCAGTCACTGAGCTCTCTTTCCTGTTTTCCATTGCCGGGTCCCCACAGCCCGCGGCGGGGGCCACGCGCTGTGTGCAGGGCTCGCTCTGGGAGGGGACAGGACGCCTCCACCAGCAGGCGTCCCCAGTAATGGCCCTGGCGTGCACGTGCAGTCTCCAGCAAAGCCAATTAGCCTTGCCTCCGCGGAGCTGGTACAATGAGAGACGGAGGGGGGGACGCTCCTTTGCCGTCCTTGAGCCGAAACACCCAGGTGCAAATCCAAACTGTTTCTCTCACCACCTGAAGGTGCTTGGGCAGAAAAGGAAGATCGTGAAGTGATTCCGAACCCTCTTTGTTTAAAAGTGGCACATTTCCGAGCTTCTATCTCGTTTTCGAAATACTGGAAAATTCCACCAGTTAAGGAGGCCTTAACAGAAGCCGGGAGTCTGGGGCGAACACGGGGCCCGCACCCCTCGTTTCTCATCCTGCCCGCTCAGGCAAACCAGGTGACTGTAGAAGTGCGAGAACCTTCCGAGGAAGGGGAAGGCTGGGCTCCGGGTGGGATGGAAACGAGGAGCGAGCGCTCCCACCCCTCGCGCAGAAGGCCGTCCCCACTCCGGGCTCTCTGCTGAGCCTTAAAAATAGCAACGCCCAGGGGGAGAATGTGCTCAGGAAAGGCCCCTCCCTGGCTCTCTAACATCTGGGTGTCTCAGGCTCAGGTATTTCCCATGGAACCCTGCGGCCCTAAAAGCCCCAGAAAGAACAGACGCGATGGCCTAACGAGCTTACTAAAGAGCAGGGCTCTGGGAAGACGTGCAAGTCTGTCTCCGGGGAGCCGGCAGGCTGAGGGCCGTGAGGACTGTCGTTGCCACACCTCCGGGAAGTCAGTCTTCTCACCGGTATTCGCATCTGTGGAAGCTTGGGCCCAGAGAGGGCAAGTCACTTACCCAAGGACACGCAGCCAAGAAGTAAGGGCCCGAGCCCAGATCTCTCTACTCTGAGCCAAGCGCCCTTGGCCACACATTCCTGAGAAAAGGGTTGCCACTCAGGCATCTTTGAGGTTTGCCGACACAGTTAGCGTCCCTGGTCAGAGCCCGGGGGTGGGGGGGAGGGGGGAGGACTGGCAGACTTATTCATCATTCCGCCCCCGGCCCTGAGCTCCGCAGAATGTGGTGAATCCCTCCCACTCTGAGGAGCCTTGAATGTTCTAAATAGTTCTTGGGCCCAGGGCTCCGGGGCAAGAGGGGAGGAGCGGAGGCTGCCTCACCCCCGATGGCCCCGATGCCCTCCCCCCCCCGCCCCCCCCGCCCCAGCCGCACACAAACAGAACACGCCGCTTTCTCTGGGCACCATCCTTCGGCCGGCGGGGACTGGGAGAAAGAGGCGGCTGCAATTCCGAGCCTGCCCTCAACGCGGGGCGTCCGCCGTTTGTACGCAGAGGCGACGTGTCTCCTGAACCCAGTCCCTGTTCTAAGTGTGCGGCCGCCCTCGGAGCACAACCTGGCGAGTCGTGCTCATGCCGCTAGGGCCATATGGTGCGGTCCAGGCGCCCAGAGAGCCGCGGGGAGGGGCCCGCTCTCTTCCCTCTTTTCTCCGGGTGGGCGCCGCGCCGGACCCCCAGCCGGCACTTCCGGGCACCCAGCGTTGAGGATGAGCACCCCCCCGCCCCCGTCTCTTCTTTCCCCCGCTTCCCACCCCTGATGGCAGGGAGGCCGTGTCTGCCCGCGGCCCTGCCGCCAGGCCTTGGAGAGCTCGGCCGTCACTGAGGCTTTTGACTAATTGCAACCACGGCTCAAGATGGCCCGAGCCTCCCACTCTGTCCCCAGGACACAGCCTCCCGCAGAAATCCACTCCGAGCACCAGTTATTAACCCTCCAGCGTGCCCGGCGCGGTCAGCCCGTTGTGTTCTGTGCCTCCACCTTTCCTCACCTACATTCCCCGCAGACGACTTGTCTATTGGAAGCAGCTAAGAATTTACCAGTGACTTAAAAAAACAAACAGGGGCGCCTGGGGGGCTCCGTCAGTCGGTTAAGCGTCCGACTTCGGCTCAGGTCATGATCTCACGGTTCGTAGGTTCGAGCCCCGCGTTGGGCTCTGTGCTGACAGCTCAGGGCCTGGAGCCTGTTTCAGATTCTGTGTCTCCCTCTCTCTCTGCCCCTCCCCCGCACCCTCTCTCTCAGAAATAAATTAAAACAAACAAACAGGCCATGAGAATGTCTGTCTATTTACGGGGGGCGGCCAGCACGGAGCACGGGGATGTGACTCCCTTGGTCTGTGCCCTGCCCACGAGGGGTCCACTGATCTGTTCCCCCCCCCCCCCCTCCCCCGGCCCCTCGCACGTTTCCTGCTCGAGGCCCTCCTCACGCCGGCTCTGGGAGAAGCACACAGAGGCAGGTCCCTGAAGCCAGTGAGTCTCCGGACAGTCAGGGGTGGTCGGAGCTGCCAGACAGACAGAGCGGAGACCTTGACGGGCTCTCCCTGCCCTGCAGCGTCGCGTCGTCAGGAAGAAAGAAGCCACCTGCTCGGCCGGTTCACGTGGGAACGTCCCCTGGGCCAAGCGCGCTCAAAGGCACCGTCCGTCACCTCGAAGCCACCGGGGAGCTAGGATTTGGGCCCCCGTTTACCCGAGGATCGGATGCAGCCGACTTGCCAAGGCTGAGCCTAAGCCTACGCAGGGGACGTTTGTCTCCTACTGGCAAAGGGAAGCCAAATAAGGAAGCTGAAGCCTGGGATTGCGGGGAAAGGAGCCTTCCCCTCCAATTTCAATTATGGAGAACTTCAAACCTACGGATTCACGGACGTGGGAGTTCGCCGCGCTCCCACGGACCCTTCCCCGCGATTCACCAAGCTGGAGATGTTCCGCCACACTTTTTTCATCCGTGCTTGTGTG